AAAGCAACAGAAGCATTTCTGCGCTCTAGTCCTGAATAAATGATAACATTCTGCACAATCCTTATTACTCAAACTATATGAGAAGAGCATATTCGTCAAAATCAGTCCTTTAACTTTTTGCTACTATTGTACGGATTAAACATCCTTAAATACACTCGGCGCCAAAATTAAAGGATCACCTATTTTGATCACTAAAAATAGGCAATTTCAAGAGAGTATAACTTCGTCAAAAAAATTTGTAACAGAATGATTAAAAAAGCATTTTACAACTTAGTCACTACTTTCGAAATCTATAATTTATTAAATGACTTACTGATTCTTTACAAAACTGCACGGATGCAAATGGAGATGCATCGAATCTAAAAATGTTTATTAAATTTTCCATGGAGTGAAATAAAAATTGCATACAAATGCGACTTATAGCGTTTAAAAGCGTGAATTTTTATCTTTAATTTGCGCACTCAATCAGCATTGTGCAATTTTTTTTTCACCGAGTTACCAACGTTATATTAAAGTAAAAAGGACCATTTTTGCTTTCGTATTGAATTTATTGCAAGGTACGGTGTGAAAATGATAGTACTACGAATAAAAGTAAAACAATGATTTGACCGAAATGTATAAATACATAATTAGTTTCATAACAAATTTCAAGTTCTGATTTTAGTAAAACTTTATATATATAGATTACGTAAAGAGATAAATTTAGAAAATATTAGTTGCGATGGAAAAATAGTTTTGAAATCATTTTATATTAAAATGATTTTTCAAATTTATTGTTAATCTCGAAAACTATTCGAGATATTAAAAAATGTTTTATACAAAAGTTTTAAGACAAAATCATTTACGTTTTGAAAAATATTTTTTTTTTAATTTTGGAACATATTGGAAAATAAATTTTTTTTTCTTACTGACGTGAGTGAAAAAAAAAAGATTTTACTGTAAAACATTTGTATAAAGCATTTTTTGATATTTTGAATAGTTTTTGAGATATAACAAAAAAAAACTGAAAATCGTTTTACACAGGGGTGGTTTTATCTCTTAAAATCGTTTTCGGGCAGCAACTACTATTTTCTAAATTCATCTATTTAAGGAATCTACATGTGTGAAAAGTTTCACTAAAACCAGAATTTTACACTTCGCGAGATTCCCTTGCAAGTTTCTCTAGGATGGGATATCAAATCTCACTATCTATATATTTTCACAACCAAATAATCGACTGCAGTGCTGTAAAATATTCAATTTGCCGACGGAAAATTAAATAAAAGTGCTTGTATTTTAGAATTGATGTATCTTTATATGTTTTTCTTTACGTATTATTGCAGAGACTTTGAGAAAATACCCACCTGTTTCATTATTGAATCGCACTTGTACTAAAGAAATAGTTCTACCGACAACGAACATTCACTTGCCAAAGGGGACATTAATAACTATACCGGTATTTGGACTGCATCGAGATCCATCAATATATCCAGATCCAGATAAATTTGATCCTGAACGATTTAACAGAGACAAAGTAGCAGAAAGGCATCCTTATGCTTATTTGCCATTCGGGGAAGGCCCACGAAACTGCATTGGTAGGGACATGAATTAAATTATTATTGCATTTCATTTATACAGAATGTCTCAGGATTGAACGGTTAAACTGCGGAAGTATATTCTAGAAGTGGAAATAAGAAGAAATGTTAAAGTTTGGTTATAAATGTTTTATTGCAAAATGCACATCGAAATGATACTGAATCATATAAAGATAGTAAATATGCCAAAATAAAAAAATTAATAAACACGTTTTCATACACAAAATGTACACTTTTATATTCTGTGCAATGAAAAATTCGTTGTTTCTTACTTCATGTTCTGTTTTAATATTTATTTATGACCTTATAAGGAATTTACAGCCATACTTCATATAATACTTTTTTCTTAATTCCACTTGTAGGATATGCTTTCCGTTTGATTGTTAGACTCTGAGGCACCTTGGTATTAGACCATTGTTTAAAATTTTATTGTCACTCATTATTTTTACGCGTATTTTTTATAATAATTATTTTTAAATTAGCATTGACAATTTTAAAGCTCGTCAAAACTTTCAGTTAGACTTAAAAAATGTATTTTGTTTATCGCAATAAACAGATTTATGTTTGTTAATTAAATAATGAATATGATGAGAATAATAATAATAATAATAATAATAAGATTAAGTACAAATATATCATTTAAAATACTTCTTTTGCTGTTGTTGTAACAATAATTGTTTTTATTAATTGCTATTACTGTTGCAATAATGGCATAAACGTTTTATCAAAAAATTTTGAGAAGAGAAATGTTTTATTTAACAAATTACATTTAATTTACAAGTGTTATTTTAACCATCATTTCTTTCTCTGTCTTTCTCTTCTTTTCTTTCCAAAATATTTAATTAATAAGT